GATAGTTGTATGTCATAGGTGCACATCCTTCTAGTTGCTGCATGCGGGATGCGGCCTCAGCATGGCTGGAGAAGCGGTGCGTCAGTGCGCGCCCGGGGTCCGAACCCTGGCCACCAGTAACAGAGCACGTGTACTTAACTGCTAAGCCACGGTGCCAGCCCGATCTTTTTGAATACCATGTCTACCCAGGCAAGGGAAACAAAAGAAAAAATAAACAAGTGGGATTTCATCAGACTAAAGAGCTTCTGCAAGGCAAAGGAAACCAGGATCAAAACGAAAAGACAACCCACCAACTGGGAGAAAATATTTGCAAATGATTTATCCAACAAGGGGTTAATCTCCAAAATATATAAAGAACTCACACAACTCAACAACAAAAAAACAAACAACCTGATCAATAAATGGGCAGAGGATATGAACAGACATTTTTCCAAGGAAGATATACAGGTAGCCAACAGGCACATGAGAAGATGTTCAACATCACTGGTGGGAATGCAAACTGGTGCAGCCACTATGGAAAATAGTATGGAGATCTCTCAGAAAATTAAACATAGAAATACCATACAATCCAGCTATCCCACTACTGGGAATCTGTCCAAAGAACATGAAATCAACAATACAAAGAGGCTTATGCACCTCTATGTTCATTGCAGCATTATTCCCTATAGCCAAGACGTGGAAGCAACTCAAGTGTCCATCGACTGATGAATGGATAAAGAAGATGTGGTATATATATACAATGGAATACTACTCAGCCATAAAAAAAGACAAAATCGTCCCATTTGCAACAACATGGATGGAACTTGAGGGTATTATGTTAAGTGAGATAAGCCAGACAGAGAGAGACAAATATCGTATGATTTCACTCATGCAGAAGATAAACACATGGACAAAAAGAACAGATTAGTGGTTACCGGGGGGGAAGGGGGTTGAGGGGTAGGCATAAGGGGTAAAGGGGCACATATATATGGTGACTAACAAATGATAATGTACAACTGAAATTTCACAATGTTATAAACTATTATGACCTCAATAAAAAAAAAACTGTTAAGCCTTTTAGAAACCAAAGCTAGGGCAAAATGAAAAAATAATATTCAAAGAGAAAATTTCAGAATCAAATCAAACCCCACACAATATATTCTGAATTAAAAACATGAAAATAAAATTTCAGAGTTTATTATAAGGCCCCCTTCTCCCACAAAAAATATCAAAACATAAAAGCAATTTTTAGAATGTCTCTAGCAGGCTTCAAGACAATCTGAATAAATCCTAGCATGCTTTTTATAGAAACTGACAAGCTGATTCTAAAATATATGTGGAAATGCAAAGGACCTAAATAGCCAAAGCAATTGTTAAAAAGAAGAACATCAAGACCTACATTAATCAGTCTTTAAAAAGAACATCAAGGGGGCCAGCCCGTGGTGTAGTGGTTAAATGCGCGTGCTCCGCTGCTGGCGGCCCGGGTTTGGATCCCGGGTGTGCACCGAGGCACTGCCTGTCAAGCCATGCCGTGGCGGCGTCCTGTATAAAGTGGAGGAGGATGGGCACGGATGTTAGCTCAGGGCCAGTCTTCCTCAGCAAAAAGAGGAGAGTTGGCATGGATGTTAGCTCAGGGCTGATCTTCCTCACACACACACACAAACACGCTAAATAAATAAATAAATAAATTTAAAAAGAACATCAAGACCTAGAGTAAAACGGCGTTAGCTTAAGGACAGACAAATCAATGGAACAGAATTAAATCCAGAAACAGACCCACAAACATATAGTCAATTATTTTTGACAAAGATGCTGAGATAATTTAGTGAGGAAAGAAGTCTTCAACAAACGGTAATGGAATAACTGGATCAACATATGAAAAAAAAATTAACCTTGGATTCCTCCCTATCTTACATCATATACAAAAATTAATTCAAGTTAGGTCACAGAACTAAATGTAAGAGCTAAAACTATACAGTTTATAGAAGAAGACATAGGAGAATATCTTTGTGACCTTGGGGTAGGCCAGGATTTCTTGGAGAGGACATAAAAATCATTAACCATAAAAGAAAAGAAACTGGATTCCACCAAAATAAAAGTCTACTGCTTATCAAATGACACTGTTAAGAAAATGTGAGGCACCGGCCTGGTGACACAAGCAGTTAAGTGCTTGCGCTCCACTGCGGCAGCCCAGCGTCCGCCGGTTCGGATCCTGGGCACGCACCGACACACCACTTATTACACCATGCTGTGGCGGCATCCCATATAAAGTGGAGGAAGATGGGCATGGATGTTAGCCCAGGGCCAGTTTTCCTCAGCAAAAAAGAGGAGGATTGGCATCAGATGTTAGCTCAGGGCTGATCTTCCTCACAAAAAAAAAAAAAAGAAGAAAATGAGAGACGAGGGGCCAGCCTGGTGGCATAGTGGTTAAGTTCACACACTCTGCTTCAGCAGCCCGGGGTTCGCAGGTTTAGATCCCAGGCGTAGATCCCAGGCGTAGACCTACGCACTGCTTATCAAGCCATGCTGTGGCAGGTGTCCCATATATAAAGTAGAGGAGGATGGGTATGGATGTTAGCCCAGAGCCAATCTTCCTCAGCAAAAAGAGGAGGACTGGCAATAGATGTTAGCTCAGGGCTAATCTTCCTCACCAAAAAGAAAAGAAAATGAGAGATGAGAGCAACAGACTGAGAGAAAATATTTATAACACCTATACCTGATAGAGGTCTTGTCTCAGAATATATAAACAACTGCAACTCAATAATAAAAATAATCCAATTAAAAAATCAGTAAAAGACTGGGATACTTCACAAAAGCAGATACACAAACAGCCAATAAACACATGAAAGGTTGCTCAACATAATTAGTTATTAGAGTAATTCAAACTAAAACCACTACAAGAAGCCTCTTCACACCCATTGGAATGGCTAAAATCAAAGACTCAATTGAAGACACTAAGTGTTAGTGAGAATATGGAGCAAAGAACAACTGGAACCCTCATTCATTGGAAAACTGTTTGGCAGTTGCTTATAAAGTTAAATACACACTAACCTGAAGACCCAGCAATTCCACTTCTTGGTAAGTGCCCAAGAACGAACCTATGTCCACAAAAAGAATTATATAAAAATGTTCATAACCACTTCATTCATAATAGCCAGGAACCTGAAACAATCCAAATCTCCACAAAAAAAAAAAATGGAAAAACAAATCACAGTCTATTTATATAACAGAATACTACTCAAGAAATCTTTTTTAAAAATGAATTACTGATACACACAATAACATAAGTGAATCTCAAAAATATTATGTTGTTAAAAACATTTATATTGAGTTAAAGAGCCAAGACATAAATAGAGTATATTCCATATGATTCCATTTACATGACAGTCAACAACAGGCAAAACTAATCTATGGTCATAGAAACCAGAACTGGGGTTTCCTATGGCAGGCAAAGATTCACAGGAAGAAGGTATAAAGGAACTTTCTGGGGTGAGGGAAGTATTCTATATCTTGACTGGTGTGTTGGTTACACAAGGGTAAAATTTGTCAAAATTCGTTAAACTGTACACTTAAGAGTGTGCATTTCACTGTAAGTAAAGTTTACCTCAATTAAGAAAGAAAATGACCTCTGCACACATAAGAATGAACAGATTTTCTCAAACTTGAAATCTTTCCAACCTAAAGAAGGAAGATAGGCTAATAGCCAATGGCTGTTTGAGAAACAATCACTGTACTGTGGCCTAAGAAAATGGAATCCAATTAACTGTCTTGGCGGAAGTTTTGTTAGGACGTGTGTGGAACTGGCCCAAAGAAAGCGCCTAGCCGTGCGGAACCAGCAACAATGAGAAGGGTGAGGAGTGGGTCCAAGAAAACACCAGAGAACAAGTCCTGACTAAAGGGAGCTGGAATGGTACTTACTCCCCACATCAAGATCAAAAGAGAACTTAAGGGGAACAGACAGGCAAAGTCAAAACCACTTCAGAATAAGGCAAGCACGGAAGGAAGGCTTCAGGGAGACTAACTATCCCCTCACAATAGGGTCACGGAAGGCAGGAGTGTCACCTAGGTCCGCCCTCCCGCTCCTGTTCCTAGCCCCCAGCTGTAATTTTACAAAGAAGAAACTTGGTCATGCTTTGAGGAAGCCACAGTGGATGGGGTGAGGAGGCCTAAGAAAAGGATGTAAGAAATGACAGCTTTGATTCTGTAGAAGCGTTTGTTAATAACTAGTAATGGTAAAAACTATTTATTGCTGGTTTAACGAAAATTCAAAAGTTAAGCCTTTTGGAGCTCCTAATCCCAGCCCCATCTCACCCCTACCCACCAGAAACAGTACTGGCTGGACTGACAAAGTGACAGTGCTCACTAATGCTTTCTAATTTGGAGAGAGGAACAATGTGACCTTTTTCTTCTTATGAATGGCTCCTGGAAAGATATGAGTTACATCTGGTTTATATAGACAGCCCTGAGATTTGAAATATTAACCATAACAACCTAAGGAACATTAACATAAGTCAAATATAATACCATGGTAAATATGATTAATTTTATTGTATTTTGGATGACCAAAAATATAAATGTGCATTTAAGCTACTGTCTTGACATGAGTACAGCCAGGTTTGGCCGTTCCATGAACCTACAGCCACCAGCACACAAAGAAATATAAAGCGGCTTTCTGTGTGGTGGGAACTGGCCCTTCTCCCACAGAGATAGTTGCCATTTGTAAGATTACAAGACTCTTTGGGCATCACGGCCCGGGACAGACGGGCCATCTGTGCCAGGTTAGGACGATAACCAAAGATCTCAATGCGCATACACAACTGATAACCATTTGTGCATGAGAACACCAAATGCTTACTCTGGAGATTACTCATATTACATAAGCTGCTGGAAACTGAGGCCTGGTGAGAGTCTGGCCCATAGGGAGGACGCCTTGCCCAGGACCTCTATCTATCAGCACTCCCACCTAGCCCTGTCAATTACATGGACTCTCCCCGGTGTAAGGTCACGTAGATGTTATAAGTACCCAATCTGATGTTTCTCTCTTGGTCAATCTGATGTTTCTCTTTTTGACTGATCTGATATTGTTTCCCTTCGGTCGGTCTAACGTTTCTCCTTTTTGGCCGATCTGATGTTGTTTCCTCTTTTTATTGACTTATTCGGATCTGTTTGCTGACTTTTGCTTTTACCCTTTCCTATATAATAAAGTGTGCACTCAGTCCATTCATTTGGGTTGGAAAGTTTCTTTTACGTCTCCGATCGAATCCACCGAACCTCTCAAAACAGCTACAAATAATTCCCCAATCTTAGAGAACCCCACATTGATGAAAGGCAGGAAACCATCAAGTATTTTCTCTCACCTACAATTCCTGGGGTAACAATCCCGAGGACTTGGCATTGTGTTGGGAATAGCTTCTCAAGGGCAAATGCTGCTTCCATGGTAGTTCTTTTCCTTGCTGTAATAAGACAGTAGCAAAATTATTAAATATCATCCATTTAAGGTCAAATCTGGTGATGTGGGGAAAAAAAGCAAATACTGAATAAAGTTTAAGTCATTTTATACTGGAACCCTTCACAAGGAAGTCTAAAACCTCTGATGAAAACAAACCTTTTCTCATTTTGGGCCCCTGCTTTCTATTTTAAATTCTAAATCTGATCTTCAGCATCACCAGTTTGCCTTCCTGCTTTGGTCATATACTGCTTTTGCCCCACTGACATTAAATTTAGCAGTAGCTAGAGCTAAACTCTAGACTTGCTATTGTACCTTTCTGTTTGGCTGATATTAAAGCATAAGGACTTTCTGACCGCATGAACAGTCACGTGGAGCCAAATTAGACAATGACAACCCAATTCTAAGTCTAACTCTGGGCCTCCAGTGTGCCCATCCTGGGACACTTAGTCTGCTTCTCCTCTTAGCAAGCCAAGGAGAATGCACTCTATCTACAGATAACATGGGCAAATGGGTCCTCACCACCCAACACAAAAAAAGGCTTGACTAGCCAAAGATACACACCCTGTTTTAACAATAAAAAGAAGTGCCTGGAGGATTAAAGTATTTCAAAATGAGAAAAATACCTTTCTAAAGAATTTGTTTCAATTGTACTGCAACCTTTAGAAATCAATCTTTAGGGGCCGGCCCAGTGCCGTAGTGGTTAAGTGTGCGCGCTCCGCTGCAGCAGCCCAGGGTTCACAGGTTCGGATCCCGGGTGCGCACCGACACACTGCTTATCAAGCCATGCTGTGGTGGCGTCCCATAGAAAGTAGAGGAAGATGGGCATGGATGTTAGCCCAGGCCAGTCTTCCTCAGCAAAAAAGAGAGGAGGATTGGTGACAGGTGTTAGCTCAGGGCTGATCTTCCTCACAAAAAAAAAAAAAAAAGAAATTAATCTTTAAAGCAAAAAGGGCTCTTCAAGGTTCAAAAACAACACACCCATGCATTCTGTAGGGAGCAGGCCCAGAGCCTCAGCGTCAGTAACTCTCAGACTAGGACAATATTTAACTCCAAACAGAAGGTACAGAAGGCAACAAAAAAACCCAAAACCTTTTCTTTTGACATTCACCTCTCTTGTGGCCACGACACTCTTCTAGACTAATGAAAGTTTCTGAATCAGCCATGTAAAGAACTGTCCGTGGTAAGATGTGAACATTCTGCAAAGAAAAAAAAAAAAGAAATGGATGCCATGATCCGTGAGTGCTTTCGTGGTCCTTGAAAGTTTCCCCTGGTCCAAAGTGCTGCTGCCCTCCTGCCCTTCACGTCAGTGTGGGCATCCTGAGTCCATCCACTGCCCATTCTTTTTTCACTCATGCTCTTTCATTTTCAGTTCATTCATTTGTTGAGCATCTATTACTTCTTCAAGTCAAACTCATTCCACCCTGACTCAAGAAATTCATTCTCATAATAATTTAAGCTCTTAAACAAAAACATTAAGTACCAGCAAAAGGTGCCACCTGCTTTATTTGAACAGGCATCACAATACCAGAAACATCTCAGCCAGAGGGAAGGTACACAGACTGTGTCACTCCTCTTTTCACTGCCTATCAAATTAAATATTCCAGGCCTTCATCCCCACTTACCAACTAGTTTCCTACAGGGACATTTTGCTTACTATTACCCAGACACACACACTTCTGTATAAATTCTCCTGCAGCTCTCTTCCTTTCACACTTGATTTAAGATTGTTTCCCCCAAGAGACAGCTTAAGTGCCACTTCCTCTGTAAAACCTTTCCTGACACTCCCTCAGTACCTTGGACCTTACACGCGACATCCTTTACACCCCAGTCATTGTTATTTGTGCCTTATCTCCACTTACGAGCGGGGCTTATTCAGACTCACATTTCCCACTAAATTTCACATTACAGACAAGTGGCAAAGTAGTTGAATTAAATGAAAAGGGTGAACATATTTTTCCTTCTAAGCCAGTTATTTTCAAAGATTTTTACTATCAGAATGGAATGAAGTAGCATATAGTAAAGCCTCAACACTGATTAAATGAAAAAATATTGATCTGTTGTAATTTGGGGGAATGTTAAGATGTTACAGATAATGAGACAGAATGATGACCCTGTGGTGGCCTCAAGCTGATAAGACCTACGGATATGGTTTCCTTGGTCCACAGCATGTTCAAAGAATATAATTTGGTTGCCAACATTTGAAATTCCACAAAATATTTACATAAAATGTGGACTTCCAGATTCTTTTTAAAAACTAGACATTCTGGCAACACTAGACTACATTCCACTTGACTGGAGCTAAACACAGGCGAGCACCCCTAGGTTTGCATGGGCCCACCACTTCCTCTGATGTTACCCTGAGGCCCGAGTCACCTGCGTAACTCTGGAGTCATCTGAGTTTGTGACGACGCCTGGTGTAGTGAGCAAAGAGACTGGAAGTCTAGTCCTGATGTTTTACGATTCTCTCTTTTTGGGTAACCACTGAAAAGCAACTGCTGAATTTTCCTTCCTAATTCTCACTAGAAAGCAGCAACAATTACAATCCTCAGGTTGAAATGTTCTCAGAGCACAATGTAAGACAACCAGAATCTCATTCCATTATTCAAAGAAGTTCCAAATGGCAAGATGTTTTACAAAAATTTTAGTGGACTTCACAATATTTCTAATAAAAAAGCTTAATCAACTTTCTTTACGGCTATAAAAGTATCCTGTCCACTAGATAATTTGGCAAACATAAAGAAAACAGCATGATTTGAACAAAGATTCCATGTTTTTGTCTCACCACACTAAGAGTTTACTATAATGTATAAATTCTTTAAGGGTATTACTATATGAATTTTAATAATGACATTAATAATAGAGAGTAATAATTTCAATTATTGAAAACATTATGTTCATAGTACTGAAGATAATGTGTTATATGCATTACCTTTTCATTACTTAATCCTTACAACAACTCCACAGAGTTTTAAGGGGAATTATTATTTTCTTTTCATTTTATGGAGATAGAACCTAAGGTTCAGAGAGATTAGGTAACTTTTTCAAAGTTACACAGCAAGTATGTGCCAAAATTGGGTTCACACCTAAGTCTGTCTAACTATAACAGCCATTACAATGTATAAATTTTTAAAGCTATATAAAAATAATACCTGCTGTGGGAAAAATTTGAAGGAAAAAAAAGTTTTTAAAAACATTTTTTAAAAAGCCACACGACTCTACTCCCGAAGGAAACTTTTGCTAACGTTTTACCTTATTTCTTTTCTATTTTTCCTTTTTTGTTTTAAATAATTTAGATTATACTAAACATATAATTTCATAATCTGTTTTCACTTATAACACGAACATTTTCTCTTGCCCTTAATGCACCTTGCAGTTTATCATTTAATGACTTCATTTGTTAGATAAACATTAGGTTGTTTTCAAGTTCCCTTATCATAAATGATGCTCCAAAAACATCCTTATGGAAAAGTCTTCACCCGCAGTTTGAATTTCCTCCACAATTTCCAATCTATCTGGAAACAGACCGGGCAGGATTTGGGCCAAAGTGCCAAGAAGAAAGTTTTCTGCAAGCCCGCCTTCGGATACTGGCCACTTTGGATCTGAGTCCCAGAGCCCAAACAGGGTAAGGAGAAAATCCACAGGAGGAGAGGGGAAACAAAAGATTGGTCACTTATGGGGCATTCACCTAATACCTAAATACATGAAGAATGATGAGAGCCAGGTTTCTCACTGTCCCAAAGGGAAGTACAAATATGAGCTGAGAGAAAACTGGAAAGAATCCTGTGTTGGACTGGAATTGGATATACCTGTATGAACTCATGAATTTCCATATATATATATATATATAAATATAGCTGTTAATGTGTGTACACGCGTGTATACATGTAGATTTATACACATACGCATACACGTACGTATATTCCTTGGCTCTGTCCACTGACCGGGCTTCGAATTAGCAAACCCTTCGACAGCAATGAGTTGTCTAGATCCTGGCTTCTAAATACCATCCTTCACTAAAAGCGGTCAGGGCGCCTCGGAGAAACGGCTGATTCCAGGACTGAAGCAGGCAAAACACAAGATGAGCTTAGAACATCTTGTGCCAGAAAGCAAGGGAGTGCTCAAAGATGATGGAGTCATCTCAAAAAGACACTGAAGACAGCTGAAGGGGCTCCCACTAGCCAAATCGGGGACAATTTGGGCACCAAATAAATACTGATAGTGAGAGATTATATCCTACCGAATAAAATAAGAGACTAAGAGTCTCTATAGATATAAATAAATAAATTGAAACAGTATATTTATATCGTTTCAAAGTATCTCCCGCCAAAAACTTATTACAGTTGCAAAGAGTAATTTTATAGTACCGACATCTGGCAGACACCACCTTAATCAAATAATCAAAGGTAATATCGCCAGTAATGGGACAAATGGAAATCATATGCCACCTGATAGGATGCAACAAGAAGACCACAGCATCACTTCTGTGATATTCCTGCCAAATACATAATCCGAATCTAACAACCATCAAATGTTCTACAAAATAACTGGCCTGTAATTTACATACATGTCAAAGTTGTGAAAGTCAAGGAAAGCTTGAGAAACTGTTCGAGATCAAAGATTAAGGAAACATGACAAATAAAAGCAACATAAGATTCTACACTGAATTCTTTTGCTATGAAGGACATTACTGGGACAACTGGCAAAATCTGAGGATTAGATGGTAGATGTGTCAATGATAATTTCCTGACTTGGATGGTTGTACGGTGGTTAAGTAGAATGTTCTTGCTTGTATGTAATGCTGTATGTAATGCATGCTACAGTATAAGGAAGTGAAAGAGCCTCAGGTTGGCAGTTTACTCTCAGATGGCTCCCTCCCACTCCGAAGTGAGACACCACAGCCTCACTGTCACCTGTGCTCAAGACGCTGCCCCTCTGACTCCAAAGTTCAAGTCTTTACCTCCCCAGGTGCTGCCCATGTTTTGAAATTGGGGCCCAGAGATATAATACAAAAGAGTACAGGAACGGGGGTTGAAATACTTGGGTTGAACTATTGGTTCTTGGCTTTTTTATGTGACACTAAGCAAGAGAGACCCAGCTACCCTCCCTGCAAAACCATGACAACAATATTTGCTTCGAGGGAAGCAGGTAAAGGGAAGGTTCTGCACAGCTTTATTATAATAGTGAAAATCTAGATACACAAAACGCCCAACATTTAAACAATGGTCAAATAAACCACGGCACATCCTTATAATACAGTCATTGAAACTGACGTTTACAAATCTTTTCATGACGAGAAAATGTTCCCTAAATTACAAAGAATAAGGCCATATACAAAATTGGGATGGAAAAAAAAAGTTTAGCTCTCCAAGATCGACCTACCAACCCTGCAACGGACCGTGCACGACACCCCTTCTTACTTGCCTCAAGCTCCTCTGCCACCACGCGGACCAAGCAGTGCTCCTCCAGGCGGCCAGCATCCGCAAAGCCCGCGGAGATCCAGGTCACACTTCGCTGGGTCCGCAACACTCTGCGCACACACTCCCTCCATAAGCGGCACACGCTGAGGACGCAGACGCACAAAGGCTTGTGAGCGGACGTTCACCTCCCTCTCCCGCGGCTCATCACCGCCACCCCCGTCGGCGCAGCGGCCGGAGATTCCTGCGGGATCTCGAGTCTCCGGGAGGGGAGGGGAGGGGGAGGCGGTGGTGTCGGGGCGGGGCTCGGAGCGAGAGCCGGGGGCGGGGAAAACCTTCGAGGGAACCTGCCCCTCTGGGCAGAGTCCCCGGGAGCACCCCGGTAGAGGGAGCTGGCGGAGGGGGACGTCAGCTCAGGGCAGGGGCAGGGCGCCGGGGCTGCCCTGGGTCCCGACGATGTCTGCCCACCCCGCCAGCCCAGGCCTGCCCGGCGTGTCCCGAGGTAAGCTTCCCGCCTCCTCTCTCCTCACCCGGCCACCCGCAGCAACGCCTTGGCGGGCAGGAAGGTGAGGACACGCTCCACCACCTCCGCTAGGTTACTCAACACGAAGGTGCCCCGTGGGTCTGCGGAGGAGGAGCCGCGGTGGTCACCGCTGCCACCCCCCGGCTCCATTCCTCACCAACCAGCCCGGGACAGCAGTACTGCAGCTCGGAGCGAGGTTAGGCCGGCGCGAAACCACCCGGCCCCCGCGCACTGAGCAGGCGCGCGCGCGCCACTTCCGGCCGGTCCGGGAGGCGGGGCTGCTGCAGTGGCGCCCACGTGACTCCACGGCACCAGGTTTCCGGCGCTGGTCTGGGAGCGTCTGCCGGCGCTCGGAGCGGGTGGCCAGGCGTCCTACAATAGTCCAGGAACTTCTGGGAGGCCTCCCGCAGTCAAAATATATCTTCCTCCTTCAGTGCCTCTCACTGCGCTTGCAGCACTGTATTCTCTTTGTTGGTACACATCTTCCTCTAATTCATGATTTCTTGAAGGCAGAGCCTAGGTAATATTTATTGGTCTTGACAGTACCAGTGCTTGTTAACAGCATGAGCCTAATTTTTGAACGGACAGCATCTGCTTTAAAAAAACTGACTTAGTGTGTGAAAATCACCGCTTTCATTCAACACCTTGTGAATGTGGTTAATTCGTTGTAACCCTCACGTTCTGAATGTGTAAAACGCATAAGGAGCACCTACCATTGCTGTGAAAGCACGCCCCAAACTGCACTAGTTCCCCGCCGGTGGCATTAGATTCAGCTGAGAACCATTAAGTTTTGACACATTTTTGGTCCCCACTCCAGGCCTACTGAATCAAGACACCGGGGGTGGGGCCCAGCAGTCTGAGTTTTACACAGTTCCTGGGATTTGAGCTTTCCCGTGATTCTGATGCAAGCTCAGGCTGAGAACCACAGAAGAACAGGAATGGAAGCACAGCAGACACTGCTGTATCCCCAACTAACATCCATTCCTCCTGCTGCTCCCTTGCTGATTTGATCCTCAGCTCTTGAAGGTCAACTTTATTTGTCTAAACTAGTGGGTCTCAAACATTTTGGCTTCAGAACTCCTTCACAATCTTAAATATTGACAGCCGTAAAAAGCTTGTTTATGTGCGTTGTCTATTAATATTAACCTTATTAAAAATTAAAACATTTTAATATTGACTCACTTAAAATAATAAATCCATTACACATTAACAAAGTAACATTTTTATGAAACAACTTTCTCAAATCGCCCCCTACCGCCAATATCGAATAATGTGGCATCTATACATTTTGCAAACTTCTAATTTCTGGCTTAATAGAAGACAGCTGGATCTGCTTCTGAGTTCAGTCTGTTGCAATATCACATCATGTAGCCTCTAGAAACTTCCAGTGTACACTTGTGAGATAATGAGAGTGAAAATGGCAAATAATGTTTTAGTTTTAGGAAAGTAGTTTTGACCTTAAAAACCTCCTAAAAGGGTCTCAGGAGTCTCTAGGATTCCCCAAATGATACGTTGAAAACCACTTGGCCGAACTAATCTTGATGGTTTCATTCTTTTCACTAGCCATTAGTTTAGAGGTGGACAGAGGCCCCAATTCTAACCAAGGAAAAGTATGCTGGCGGGGGAGTGAGGCTTCTAAAGATTTCCTCACCTCCTAGGGAGACACTAGACGACAGGACCATTATCTACCTCTGGACAGATTAAAGTGGCTGCACATCCAGACATAACATTCGATCCAAAGATGAAACCAACACAAAAAAATCTCAAAGAAGCAGAACAGAGCCCAGATGTACCGTGCCTGGAGTTTTCCTACCTCTGGATAGCGTATCCACCTATGCAAGATAACCTGACAATTGTGTGTAATGAAGCTATAGCTATGCTAAAGAGGGAGCAGATTACTGTAACTAGGGGAACCAGGGAGAACCATGAAGAAAGTAGCCTGACTAGAATTAAAGAATGAATGTGGGAGAGGGAAAAGATTAAGGAAAACCTGTGTACCAAGTCTGTACACACCATTTCTGGGTTCTCTAGCTTTTTCTTATTTAATCAATCTGCCTCTCTTCCTCTCCTCACCCTGTTCCACTATATATAATCCTATTCCAGGAACTCAATAGAGCCTACAGACACCTGAAGCAAAGAGTATGTCTTATGAGGGAAAGGTGACGAAATTATTTTTTAAATGGTTCTTTATTCATAAACTTGATGCAAGTTTACAAAATTTATTGTACATTGCCAAATAAATCTGCAATGAAAAATAAAATCCAAAAAAACAAAGCATGCCAAATGTGCAGCTGTCAATCTGCTAGCCATCAGGATATTAAAGAATTCAATAATGTATTCAAGATTTAGCCTTAGGTTTAAGGAACTTTAATGCTTTAAAGAATTCTGCCTTGTCACTTGTTATCTGAGCAACTGGCAATCAGAACTTTATACAAATGTAACCAAGTGAACAAGAATGCCAGAAAATCTTTTTCTACTGTCCTTTTAACCAAAATAGAATAAAAAGAAATTAAACACACACAATAACGAAGAAGTGCCATGTCTCTCGGATGTGGTTTACAAAGTTAAAAACTGAATCTTAAAGCAAATGCATAAGAAACACTTTTGAACTTTGTAACTAGTTTGTGCAGAAAAATGTGCTTCTGGATTTCTTTTTAAAAGTGCTTAATAACTAGAATTTACTTTTAAATCAAATTTGGGTATATAAAAAAATCTATTACCAACCAAACAGGACTGATTCAGGTAAGGCAATAAAATGGAGAGTACACTGATTTGAGTCAGGTTTTATAAAAGAATTAACATATGAAGAGTTCCTATTAGTCTTTCAATGTAAAAGCCATTGTTACGACTATAGCAAAAATTTTAAGTCTCAAAATTAGATATCTTTTTGTACTTAACTGTGCAGCTTTTGCTCAAGGAGTCTTCGTGCCAATCACTTTATAAGTTTATTAGTTTACAAATGATTGCAACATCCCGTTAATAAAATGGGAACGTAAAATGACTTAGTATTTTAAATAACTTCAAGCTCTATACTGCAGCTCTTCTTCTTACGAAATACTGAACCAACAAGAAGCAGATTCAGTGCAGCAAGACTCTGATGCCCCAGTGGAAATTACTACTTACAAGCCTTAATTGGCATAGCCTTGCTTCGCTTTGCCTAAAAAGTACAATACAACTCAGTTAAGAGCATATCCTCCGGAAACAGTTCATATCTTCACATAGCCATAAAAATGTTTAACAACTTAATGAGTAGGTTTCCTGTCATTATTTTGGCAATATCATAAAATGGTTTTAACCTGAAAAAGCTACTGTGATTTATAAGATCTTAAATTTTTAAACCAATATTAAACATGAATTAAACTTTTATTGGCTCTAAATGGAACAATATATTGCAAATCCTCGTGACACACGAGCTCAATATGGGAAAGTTACCCTACAGGTGCAACTTCAGTAAACCGATGCTGCCTTGCCTGCTTAATAGATTTCACTTTTCAAGAAAAAGAGATAAGAAGTGGCCAGTATGTGTATTTATCAGGAAGAATACAATCAGGGCCCCACTGCTCAGTCCAAAATACCTAAAATGAGCAAATTGAAAAGGCTGTAACTTATATTGGATGTCAGCTGACAGATTATCCACTAAAATAACTATTAGTTAACGTCTTCGGTACTGCTGTTATAGGGGCACTCAAAGCTTGTGTCTGCATGTTGGAAAGATTTTCTTTAAAGCAACATTGGTCCAAACATACACAGTCAACACATTTAGCCGTCTTCCTTTGGAGGGGTGTACCAGCCTGAAACAGAATAGAAAAAAAAGTTAAAATACTTTAATTCCTAAACCAAGTAAGAGAAATGGCATTTTATTAAGGTTACCTACTTTCTCTACTCATAATTTTCATGTTTAAACCTGCTGTAAAAATTAAACTTACACTTGGGTTGCTAACACATTTTGATATGTTCATAATATAAAGTTATTTTCTATGAATAAATTGTACTTGAGTTTTCAACATAAGATCTCTATATTAATGGCATTTCTAGCTAAAGATGACAGTGTGGAATATTAAACTAGGTTTTACATTCCATTTCAATTCTGTATATGAAAGAAAACTTCACTAAAAATAACTATCCCTCAAACAAAATCCTGCCATTTTAGAAGAAGACAAACTTGGACTGTCCTCAGTGCAGTGATGTCATTTCACCAGTAGGGAAGCCATCTCAGCAGGTGCGCAAAGTGATTATGCCTAAGACAGATTTAGCGGCAGAAGACAAACTAGGATCCATCTCCTGATGCTGAATCTATTGCTCTTTCACCATAGCTGAGCTGACACACACCCACACTTTCTCAAATACAGTACTTCCCATAAACATTTTTGAATGCTAACTACAATGTTTGCTTTAACAAAAAATAAATAACTAGGAGATAAGAAAAAATGTAGTTGTTTCCCAGACTCGACAAAAATCCACGCTCTCTATAGAAAGGCAAATGAGACTAAGGACTGCTTGGCAGGAAACGGCCATTGCAACAGTACGAATATGCCCAGATGTGTGGAGCATCCCATGGTTGACGAAGACGTACAGGTGTCTCTGGATCTACTAACTTAGTGTGCTGGAGATAAAGATTATTATGAAAACCTAGCCTTGCCCACAAGTTTTATCATTTCTCTCTTCAGAAGCTTCAAAATTGTTTTGAATACTATTCTTTCAGAAGTCAACAGCCACTGGAAAAGTGACAAGTTTGCTTCGTCGTTAAAAGTGAGCACAAAATACAAATCTTAAGGCACAAGCTACCACATTTCTAGCAAAGGACACTTCATTGTAAATACTCTCCTTAAAACTACTTCCTATTAATTTATTTATTCTACACAAAAGAGCATCAGTTTCACTACCACTGCTACAATGAGTATCTTAAATTATTAGCACTACTTAGTTACAAAGTGTTATGCATACACACTACTCTTTTTTTTCCTCACAAGTTTGGCAAGACAGACATGCCAGTTTTAGAGATGAGGAAACTAAGGCTGAGAGGTAATGGGACTTGCTCAGGACCACAGAGCTAGTAAGTGACACAAATAGCACTTGAAAATTGGTTTTCTAACTCCAAGTCTACTTGTTTTATTACCTCACTGCTAGAGACAAAAACTCAAAACGTGCACTGTCAATACAAGCAAAATTTAAAGTAAGGCCAATAGAGTTTATGAAAGATATTTTAAGAATTTTTTTAAATTTATAACTAAAATACTCCTAAAG